CTGAGTGGCAGCTCGCCCCAGCGCGGGATCCGGGCCTGCCATCTGCCACCAGGGGAGACGGGGCAGACACTGAGGGATTGGGCGTGCCATCTGCCACCCGGGGAGCGGCCCTACGCCAGCAGGTGGTTATCTCCCGAGGGGGTCCCAGACTGTGAGAGGGCACAGGTTGGGCTGAGGGACCCCCCTCCCCTGCCAGTGCACAAATTTTTGTGCACGGGCCTTCTAGTTAGAATAATAAAACAGAATCCTAACTGGATTGCAGAATAAACAATATTGGACCCTTCTGTTGCCTTCATGTGCATTTCACTTAATACTCTGGGGTATTTCTAAGTCTAGATATTCATTTGTTCCACAAACATTTTTCTTTAGGTCCAAATGTTATGTGAGAATTTTAAAATATTGCCATAAGCTTTTTGTGGATTATTTGGATGATAAAGTCATAATAGTAAATAAATCTTTTATTTTGCAAAATTTTGTTCTTACAAAATAGTCCTTCAGTTTTTCTTTCTAGGATTACCTTTCATTATGCTATCTCAGGCCTCCTGGCTGATAAATTACATGGTATTTTCAGAATTTCACTTTTATTTTAGTAGTACTGAGTAGATATGACCTGAGTAGAAATTAGCCTCTGCAAATAATCTAAAAGTCATTTAATGTCATTACTTAATTTTTCTTACTCTTCTCTATATTCCTACAAAGTAAGGTATAGCGTTTGTTATTAATCTACTTCAGAATTATGTTTAAAAGATTCTGCTAAAAGAATGTGTCCAAGGATACTTGGTGGATTGAATGGTTTCTACCCATATATGGTGCAAACAGCTTTGTACTACTAGTTAGTTAATTTACTCATTTGTTTTTTCCACCCTTTAATTGATAAACATATCTGTGTTTTAATAATTAGGTGTCTTTATCTACAAATTTATTCAATATTCAAACAACAGAGGAAAATTCTTCTTTCTTTTTAACCAGGAAAGTAATATGCTGTGTGTGTGTGGGTGCGTTTTGACTAATTACCTTCTTGTGTTTTGAAACATAGCACAAACAGAAAAAGTAGTTATAATGTATGTATGTATGTATTTATGTATTTATGTACAATTTAAATGATAGTAAAATGAATATTGGAGTTCTCACTACTCTGCTTAAGAGACACCTGCTACATATTAGGAAGGAAAAACGCTAAAAAACAGTAAATTACATATACTTTACCCTAACCCAATGAAGCAATGTTATTCCAGTAACTTTATTTATTTATTTATCTTAAGTATATTTTTATTGATTTCAGAGAGGAAGGGAGAGGGAGAGAAAGAAACATCAATGATGCAAGAGAATCATTGATCAGCTGCCTCCTGCAGGCCCCACACTGGGGATCTAGCCTGCAACCTGGGCATGTACCCTGACCACCAGAAATCGAACTGTGATCTCATGGTTCATAGGTCTCATAGGTCAACACTCAACCACTGAGCCATGCCAGCCAGGCCAGGTAACTATTTACATATCTCTTCTCCACACATTCTTTTGCTTCAAAATCAGGATATTCAGATTACTCAGATACCTATAAATGATGAATGGTCAATTAAGAAGGAAAGATGGGGTCTAAAGGAAGAGGGAAAGGTGGCTGATATCATTGATCTTCTATTAATAAGAATGAAAGGTCATTAGAGCCTAATACTGTCTTCTCTGGAGTAGTTGCTCTCAACATGGCCTCCAGTGATACGAAAATAATGTGAGGAAAGAATGGTGTTGGAATGGGATTTAATCTTGGCAGTTGTCTCAAGTTGCTAGAACTGCCCAAATGCAGTGTGTATAGCCAGGATGGCTAGAAGAGGCCAGGCCCCCAAACCACCCAGTATCTGTGTTATGCTGTGTGTGTGTGGGTGCCTTTTGACTAATTACCTTTTTGTGTTTTGAAACATAGCACAAACAGAAAAAGTAGTTATAATGTATGTATGTATGTATGTACAATTTAAATGATAGTAAAATGAATATTGGAGTTCTCACTACTCTGCTTAAGAGACACCTGCTACTTACTAATGTTAATTAAAGTTAACTACTTCAACCAGACCAAATTAAAGACTTTATTAGGTGAATTACCTTTTAGATTTTATTGATACATGGACCATATTAAACTAGTAGTAACATCTGATCTTCATGAAGGAGTTTCCTATTTGTAACATTTTTACAATAATTTCAAATGTTTTAATAAAGTGATGTTAAGTGTACCATAAAGTGGTTGCTTATTAAAGCAACTCATTTGATCTGTCTTGTGTTTGAAAAAGCTTGTGATGAGAAAGGTTTTTTGCTGAGGTCAGAGCAAACCTCAGCAGTACAGTGCATTTCCTGTTTCTTTATGTAGATTCTTTTCTTTCTGATCCATATGTATTTTCTTTCCTTCTCTCTTGGTTGTAGCCTAGCAAATGCATGGATATATCTTTACTTATTTCAGCTGCTTTGGAGTTGAACTTTTAGTACAGTGCCTAGACCACCAAAATTAATAGGTAGGGAGGCGTATAAGAGGTCTGTCATGGTAGTGCTGAGCATCACAATTCTCATTGTAATTGTTCCATCAGTTATTTTTCAAATGCAATATGAGTTCCTGTCATTACTTGGAAATTCCCAATAGGCTGATAGCAAGTTCAGAGAGTAATTCCTTTGCTGCAAAAAAAGTTCTTCCATCAAGCTTAATTTATAGTTGTGGATGGGTTGAAATGTGTGTTAGGATGAGAAATAATTAAGATATGGTTGGACATGAATCCTATCAATGTCCAAAAAATGTGAACTTAGAGTCTTCATTTTAATATACACAGGGAACTAGAGAATGTTGTATGGATTCCTTTGTTAAACTTAAATTGCAATTCTGAAAATTAAACATTTAGGCAGCTTTTAACTAATGTATTTATTTTAATTGATAGCTCATTGTAAAGTAAAAGTTTTTTTTAAAGCATCTTTACTTCAGACTAATAACAAACATCAGAAATATAAAGGTTTATTTATTTATTTTTATTGTCACTGAGGAAAAAAAGGATTATTTTTAGTTTTAAATCTTTAGGACTAATCATGTGCCAGATACAATATTAAAAAGTCATTGGAAACATCCACATTCAAAGATCTACAAACTAATAACTTTGATTTTGTGATGGTATGTTGCAGAATATTATTGTTGCAGTAAGTGGAAAAGTACCAATCTCTTTTCTGATTGCAGACAACCTACAGAACATTAAGAACTCCTTATATGAGTGGGTTTCAAACTTTTTGACCGCAGTCCACAGGAAGACATTTGTTTTTACTCATGCCCCAATATATCACAACACACAGACTATAATAAAGTTTTATGAAACAGTAATTTCCTGTAATACTTATGATACCGTGGTATACGAATGTTTCTTTTACTTATAAGTTCACCAAGGTCCATTGAGTTATTTTATTACCCATAATTTTCACCACCCATATATTTAAAGATTGCTTTCCCATGTACCAAAGACTGACTTTTAAATGCTGCTACTGAAACATAACTTAAAGTCTTAATTGATTTTTAAAGTTTCAAGAATTCTAGCTTCTGTTTTCTGCTATAGTTGAAACAAATAACTATGCATACAAATATAGATTTTGCTGGCCTTAACAAAATTTTTTATGAAACTAATAAATTCAGCTTACCTCTAAGCCTAAATAAATGTATACAGTTGTAAAGTGTTATTTGTTAAATGCTGAATATTCTCAGCACATCACCTAAAATAATGGAAGAAAACACACCTTTGTACCACCATAATAAATGTCAAAAAGCTTCATCATTAAAATCATATATTTTTTCTTGTAAATTTTATGTATTTAGTTTCTTTTAAGTTTAAAAATCATAGGGTTACTTCTTTGTTTTTTACCAAGGGTGCAGTGAGGTTGGAATGACTACTAGTAGTCTACCTGTGGTAAGCACAGAGAGAGAGGAAGTGATATTTGATGTGTAACATTAAGGAGAAAAACTAACTGGCTAAGGGTTGGTGAAGAATGTTCATGATCCCCAAGTCAAATTACATTTGGTGCCTTTGACTTTAGAAAACTGAGGAAATGCAAAGTATTTCAGTAAAATTTTTATCCACAATGACTGAAGTAAAATTTTTGGCGTCCTTGTTTGGGGGAACTAACCAACAGATAAAAAGAAAATTTATTTTTTTGTGGCATATATCTTGCTGGTTAGGGCTGGATAGACAGGTACCTTAGTTATGATTTAGTTTCATTAAACAGGTATTTATGTGAGAGAGATTCTTCTAGGCTTGAGATATATATAAATAAGTTAGTTCCTGAGGAAACCAAGATGGCGGCATAGGTAAACACAGGAAATTGCTGCCTTGCACAACCACTTCAAAAATACAACTAAAAGACAAAATGGATATCATCCAGAACTACAGGAAGGCTGGCGGAGTGGAAATTCTACAACTAGAAGGAAAGAGAAAAGCACACTGAGAATTAGAGGAGGTGCGGAAGTAAAGTGCAGAGGTACGGAGGCGCACGTGGAAAGGGCTGGCAACTGAGGACACGGTTGTCTTTTTCAATCCGGAGGGAGTCTCAAGCTCCCGACTGCTCTGAACTCTAGTTCTGGGCGAGTCTCTGGGGACCCAGATTCATACGGGGAGAAACCGGACTGTCTGGCATTGGTTGGAACTCAAGAGCGGCTTTCTCTCAGAGGTGCTTGCAGCGATTACCAGGACACTGAGATGTGGGGCCTCTTAGGGTAGGACTGAGGAGCAGCCATAGCTACTTGCTCCGCCCTGTTGACCCCCTGAGACCCCGCCCCACCCAAGATGTGTGCAGAGGCTTTTGCATATGAAAGGCCTGGCCCTTTGAAATCTGAAAATTACCTAACAAACTGCAGCTGGGTCAGAGAGACCCAGAACTTCCAAAAGAAGGCCCAAGGCCCCACAGCAGCTTGCATTGCTTCACAGCTGGCCCTCATCTGGGCACCTCCAAACCCCAAACAAAGAAGAGGAATCTGCAGATCTCTCCATAGCTCCTGCTGCGTAGCCTCAGGCAGAGGCTAAATTAGCACCTCCTTAGAGATCCAAGAGCCAGTGTACCCAGTGT